AGTCTGACCCTCTGCCCTGGACAGAAAAGAGTGCTGGGGTCATATGATCCCAGCCAGTTACTTGTGCAATCTCCTCTTAAAGACCCCGAAGGTAGGGGAGAGCACCACCTCCCTGGGACGCTCATTCCAGATTTTGGCAACCCTTACAGTAAAGAAGTTCTTCCTGATGTCCAACCTAAATCTGCTCTCCATCAGTTTGTGGCCATTATTCCTAGTTACTCCAAGGGGTGCTCTGGTAAACAGAACATCTCCTATTTCTTGCTGCTCCCCGATAAATTTGTAAACGGCTACAAGATCCCCTCCCAGCCTTCTCTTGCAAAGACTGAAGAGATCCAGGTCCCCTAGTCCTGATCCACGTCTTCATAGGGCCTTACCTGAGGGCCCCTAACCGTACGAGTGGCCCTCCTCTGGACCCTCTCAAGGTTATCCACATCCCTCTTGAAGTGCAGCGCCCAGAACTGGATGCAGTACTCCAACTGTGGCTTGACCAATGCCACATAGAGGGGAAGTATCACCGCCCTGGACCTGTCCATGATGCACTTGCTAACGCATGATAGAGTGCGGTTACTTTTACTGATTACTTCGTCCCATTGACAGCTCATATTCATCTTGGAGTCAACTATGACTCCGAGATCCCTTTCTGCCGCTGAGCTGCTCAGGTCATCCCCTAGCCTATAGGTGTGTTGGTGATTCCTTCTCCCTAGATGCAGCACTTTGCACTTGTCTTTGTTGAACCACAGCTGTATTCTTTTCTGCCTACTTTTTCAACCTGTCCACGTCCGCCTGGATTCGATCCCTTCCCACTAGTGTGTTTACTGTACCCCATAATTTCGTGTTATCCACAAATTTGGACAGAGTGCTCTCCGCGCCCTCATCCAAGTTGCTGATGAAGATATTGAATAGCACAGGCCCAAGGACCGAGCCTTGGGGGACCCCACTGCCCACATCTTTCCAAGTTGATACCGACCCATCCATCACCACTCTCTGGGTGCAACCCTTAAGCCCATTTGGCACCCTCCTGACTGTGTAATTATCTATGTCACAGCCGCTCAGTTTGTTTATGAGAATAGGATGAGATCCCGTATTGAAGGCATTCTTAAAATTGAAGTAGATGATATCTACCTCAACTCCTGCATCTAAGCATTTTGTGACCTGGTCATAAAAAGAAACAAGGTTAGTCAGGCAGGATCTACCTGCTGTGAACCTGTGCTGGTTGCCCTTCAGCATTATTTTTCCTGCTGGGCTCCCACAAATGTGATCCTTGATAATTTTTTCAAAGGTTTTCCCAAGGATAGAGGTGAGACTAACTGGCCTATAACTACCTGGATCCTCCTTCCACTCCTTGAAAATAGGGACCACACCGGCCCTTTTCCAGTTCTCTGGGATCTGACCTGAATGGTCACCAAGAATGCTCAAACAGCCGTGCCAGTGGCTCTGCAATGACACTGGCCAATTTCTTCAACACCCTTGGATGAAGATCATCCGGGACTAATGACTGAAACACATTCAGCCCCTCCAAGTGTCCCTTTACTAAGTCAGCAGGCTGATGTTCCTCC